TTAGAGAAATAACTCAACGGCTTGAGGTATTGGCTATTTATCGCACGCAAAAGCGTTGCGGTAGAGGGCACATTACGTGCACGCGTGAGGAAAAAATATAAAAATATTAAATTAAATAAATAACAAGGACTCTCTATATAAACAATAAAAAGGGCGACGTGAGAGTCAAATCAAGATTAAATTGTAGAAATGTTGACATATTTAATTTAAAAAAATAATAAAAATATTAAATATTAATTATAAACATTTAAATAATGTGAAATCTCACGGAGACTCTCCAAATTCAAAAATAAACAATATAATTCTTCAAAGGCGAATGAGAGTACAGCGATGTTATTGGGTCGCAAACAAAAAGTAGTCGGATCCTTATAAATTCCTTTATTCAAATGATGAAAGTAAAAAGTCTTGAAAACGTTTTGACTTATTTTAAGTCATCTTCAGTTTAGGTTTCCCATAAAGGATCATTAAATCTTGCAAGTGAGTCCCATCCAATTGACTAATTGATTAATTATAAATTATAGAAGATTTGATCAGTCTACATTCGATTCTTCAACGTTATTAATCGTACACAATGTTACCAGCATTTTTCAATTTTTGTCTTTTTATTTTATTTAATTTGACGTATATTGCTGTAATTATACTGACACACCGAAATAACATTGCTGTTTTAATTTGTTTCATTTCCTTGAGATATTGTTATACATACGACTTTTCAATCGTGTGTAACTATAATATCGTTTTTCTTTTGAAGACTCACAAGATTAATGGAAACTGCACGAACGATCTTTCAACGATTAACTTTGTCCGCTGTTTTTTAATATGTCTGAGGAGGGCTCAATCCGAGAGCCGAAACTTGTAACTTATTTATATTAATTAATTATCTTAATTATTTGTTTAAAGGCGAATTAAGTGATGTTTATTAAATTAATTATCGAAAGTAGTTACTAAATGATATGTTTTATAGTTGAACAAAAATCTTTTTTGACTCTTATATCGCCCTTGACTTCATATTGTTTATTTTTTTTATATAACGAGTCCTTATTTCTTTTTCTATTAATTTGTTATAGAAGATTTATTTGATAAGTTTAATATAAAGAAAAATTTACTATATAAATATTATAACTTAAAAAATTTAATGTTGTTTGTTACATTTAATGTTGATTATTAAATCCTCTATGTAATTTTAAAAATCTATAACATTCTGCTTTAGTATTGCAAAAAGTAACAAAGAAAGTAACGAATTGTTACTTTTTAAGTAAGGAGTTACTTTTACAAAAACTATTAACAGCAGTGCATTATATTTTTATAAAGTAATATTTCCAATCCTGCCGACCATATTTATATCCAAATTTATATCATATCAATTAAATTTTTACCGTCTTTATTGCGTGTCAACGCGCAAGTTATTAACGTATTGTTTTTGTAAAGATTAATTTCACAACACAGCGCGGCTGCAAATGTTATTTGTTTACGTACAATGAATTTCCTTCCAGTTTTGTATATATATTTGTATTTTATCTCTATGATTATAGTTGGATCCATCAAGTTCGGTTATATCCCAGATAACATATATATGTTACAAAGACAACTTTTAGATATCTATGATTAGTAATTATGCACCTCCCAAAAATGGACTTTGATGGCTCGGGATAAGAGACTTGTAGCGTCTCACAGTTTTTGAACATGGCCGGAGACGCTACCGCTACTCTCCTGATATAAATATAAGACATTTAAAAGAAGCCTTTTAGATATCTTATGGAATATAAATGTTATCTGAGATATAGGAAGCAATTTAAAGAATTATTGTTAATTAAAGATCTTTTTTATAGAATACAGTATAATTTTTTTCTCTCTCTCTCTGTAAATTTGGTTGTAGTTGCTAGTAATTATATAATATAGTATGAGAACAGGGTTGCTCATTATGCAATGGCAACGTGACGCGTTAATCCTTTTCTCTTGCGCTGTATATCGTTATCAAGATCAGTATGTACATATAGTATAATGTATTTAAACTAGTATTAGTAAAATTGTATTGTATTCTTCACGTAGCGCATCTGTCGTGTAAGTGTGTCATATAATTTATAGTATTTGATTTTTCGTTTATCAGCTTTACATATAGTCTGTTACGAAAATAAAATACGTTCTAATTAAGTACAGGATGATTAAGTAAGTATTTTTATCTATGTTCCTTAATTAGTTATTTTAAAATACTATTATACATACTCAAAGACAAATAATAAATTTATAGAGCATCGTCTTTTTCTTATATGTACGTACGTATAGCAAACTCAGTCCCCCACTTGCGTTATACTATTATAGATTAGTTTAAAAGCTGTTATACACAAAGTGAACAAAGTTAAATAAATAAATAAATATAAAAGTTTATAGAATAGAATATATTTATTCACACTTCACAGCGTTTTTTTTTTTTTTGACAAAGCTAAGAAGGGAACTTGGTTTACAATTTTCCTTATCTCACTCATCCATATCTTTTGTATAGGTATATATGATCTGCTTAAGAACAACGTTATTCTTAAACGCCCGCTAAAAAGCCCGCCTAAAGCTTCCTGATTTGGCCGTTTCGTGTAGCGTGTCGCTGTGAATGCAATTCGAATCGTAGTTTTGAGTTTACGCGACTCCCGCACCCAGCAGTGTTCGAGCCTCGAGCACAGTCGAGAGACTCGAGAGTGGTCGAGACAGTTCGAGACGTCGAGAGTTGAGCGGATGGTAGAGGAGTGGGAGTGTGTCAATCGTGTGTGCTGTGATGGATGAAGTCACGACGAGCGGTAGGTTTCTTCTCAATGGCAAGAAAACAGCGTCGTCAATCGTGACCAGGTTACGTGACGCTCGTCAACGATTACGCGGACGTCGCGACAGCTCACCATTCACACGACGTGTTGTCGACGCTGAACGCATCGCGTGGGCGTCTATCTTCCGTGTGTGTGTGTGTGTGTGTGTGTCTCCTTCTCCTTCCCCCCCCCCCTCTCTCTCTCTCTCTCTCTCTCAGTTTCTATCTTTCTTCCCGTTGCCCACACACTCTCGCATTAATAAGTTTACTCGTACGTTCCATCGTGTTATATATCCCTTCGCGACGGATTCGCGACGATTGCCATCTCCGTGATACGCAGTGTATGTCTCGCGTCGCGCGAATCGTGTGTGCTGCGTCGTGCTCCAATCCTTGCCTCTACCATCAGCGAAGTCAGCTGCTCGCTTACTCGTTCGATAGCCGATGTCAACCGTGATTCACGTTTTCTCCCCAAGATACATCCCCCAGGCCCGCCTCTTCTTCATTTAGGATTATCATACGCGTGCATCCGTCGGTCGATATACGCTTGCAAAAGACTTTTTTGCGCATGAATGCGTAATGTTTGGTATGATTACGAGAATGTAAATTTCAACAAATCTATTAATACGATATGAAATAATTTTTTACTACAATTTCGATTATTTTTATATATAATACTCTCTATACTATATTTAATAATAATTTACGCAATCAGAATTGTAATTTATAAATTATTCATATATGTTTAGCGTATATATTTATAATCATAATTTTCTAGATCCAGGAGGTGGAGAAAGTAGAGGAACGTTAATATGCGCTGGTTGTCTCAACGCTATCGAGGATGAATTCATACAGGCATTGAATCAAGAATGGCATATTGATTGCTTTCGGTAAAAGTGCTAGTATATGTTTTTAAAACATTACGTTATGTTTATTATGACATTTGAAATAAATTATTAATTATATTTTTATACGAAAAAATAAGAATAAGAATCTTTCAGATGTTCTGCGTGCGACATTGGCTTATCCTCCTGGTACTTCGAAAAAGATGGCTTGCTATTTTGTAAAGATGACTACTGGGCCGCTTATGGCGAAGCTTGTCAGGACTGTGGCCAGATCATCACAGGCCCTGTCATGCTGGCGGGGGATCACAAGTTCCATCCAGAATGTTTTGCCTGTACTTCATGCGGTGCTTTCATTGGAGATGGCGAGAGTTATGCGCTCGTTGAACGGTCTAAATTATATTGCGGGATTTGTTACAAGCGGCAAATGCAACCGCTCAACAGGGCAGCAAACTATCCTTTCACCAGAAAACCACATAGCATTAGACTGGTCGAAATACCTCCCAGTACAACAGACCCAGATAAGCAAAGAGGAATTAAACTGACGTTAGACACAGCTCCCAGTCCTCGCAGTTGTGGTGCTTTATTACGCATTTCTGAGTATGTATGATAATGTATTTTACGTACTTAAATTACGTACGCTATTTTTAAATTACAAGATTGTGTTTATATATCTACATAAACCAGATTTATATATAAGCGGTAATTGTGATAAAAGTGGAACATTTGGATCTTTTTATTCCCCAGAATTATATATCTAAGATACATGCTTTTTAAAAATATTTAACATTGCATGATAGTCCAGATGATTATTTAAGAGAATTGGTATAAAAATGTATATTAGCCTCTAATAATTTAACACTAATAATTTAACTAAAATGCAGGTTAATGAGAAATATTCGTGGAAAGATCAGTAAGCTGCTAGCCTCTGTGATGGAGGTTCTATTTAGGCTATGCTGCCACTTCTCTAATCATAGGTATTGCATAACAAATCAATAATATGCACTACATATTGCTAACTCTACAGACTGTGCTGTCATCAGTAGCAGTTATGTTAATTGCACATGAAAATGTATAAAATATGTTCGTGCAATTTTCTACAATATGTGTACATGTAACTGTAATGTTAATGTCTATGTATTTTATAACACATTTTTTTAATATATATATTTTAATATATATTTTTTTTAGATATTATAAATTATTATTGTTTTCTTTTATCAAGTGCACGTTCAATGTAGCTAATCAAAAATCACAGTTTATATAGAACTATCTGAAATAAGTGTTAAAGTATTGCAAGTATTAACTGCTTTTACATCGTCTTTCAAACATTTAATGGATTGGTGCAAGTTATTTTGTGTGTATTTAATTATGAGCAAGTGGGTTAATGTGATATTATTTCTGAATACTGTGCTTTGTTGTTGTTTTATGGTTCCTCGTAAACGTATTTTATTTTGTGCAATAAATTTTTATATGAAAGTATAAGGTTTGAAATAATATTACGTGTAACAAATTAAATAAATGTGTTTAAGAAATGTCTTAAGTTGCATTTTCATTTCATATAAAAAATTTTCTAATATTTGCTTGTCACTTTTATTATCAGTGTGTAAAGTTATATCTCATTAGCCTGGCAGTTATTATTTCAAATTGTCTTTTTATGTGGTTGTATTGCATTGAAAAAATATATACATATATATAATATAATGCATGCAATTGTTTGCATGTGTATTGCTGTGATTTAAGGCGCTTCTAGACAATATGGACAACGTTTAACATTAACTATATACACATAACATACATAATTCATTGAATGGCCAATATTTAGCGAATGTATACAAAGTTGGCATATACATTGGCCATATTGTCTAGAGACACCTTTAGGCAACAATAATAAAAATATTTGTGAAATGAATGTTGCAGATTGAACATGTCGAGCGATCTTATATCGTTACATATTGGCGATCGAATCTTGGAAGTAAATGGCACCCCCGTTAAAGATCAGCCAGTGGAAAGTATCGAAAATCTCATACAATATTCGGACACAGTTTTACAAGTAAGCCAAAGTGTTTTCAAAATATTGTATATTGTCTTATTGTGATTAAATTGAATGTAAATTTAATGTTTTAGTTGACTATCGAGCACGATCCAGATGCGGTCTCACGACGGCCCACGTTCTCCTCACCGTCCTCGGCAATGCTGGCATGTGTCGGTACTCCTAGGACAAGTCCTGAAAGCAAAGAACGGCTGTTTAAGCGCCGGGACGAGGGTTACATCAGCGGTGCGCGGAGCCGACAATTACGAAGAACGAGAGATCCTATGCATAAAGAACGTAGCAGTTCTATGTCGCGATTACTCGACGGGTAGGACAACGAATACAGAATACGTTCAACAGTTGACGAATAATAAATTACAATATGATTCACTAAATCGAACATTATTGTAGATCTTCACCAACGAATCCTACTTATGATCTAAGCCGTACCAGATCATTTCGCGTAGAACCAAAGAATCAGAGAATATTTCGAGCGAGCGATCTGGTGAAGGGCGAGCTCCTGGGTAAAGGATTTTTTGGACAAGTATTTAAGGTCACGCATCGTGACACGAACGAGGTGATGGTTCTCAAAGAATTGTATAGAGTGGACGAAGACGCGCAGAAGAATTTTCTAAAAGAGGTAATTTTTTTTCATGCCAATTGTACAAAATTAACATACACAAGCAAGATAAAAATGAAAAGAATGCGAATACGTTTGATATATGAAGAATTTAATACTTGAATGTTCAGATTTTACATTTTTTTGGGCATTCCAGTGTTAAATAATCATTAAGTTTGACTGATCTCTCTTACGCATGTTTTGTCTTTATAATAACAATTCAATACAGGTTGCGGTATTGCGGTCATTACATCATAACAACGTTCTTCGATTTATCGGTGTTCTTTATAAGGATAAGAAACTGCATTTGGTTACCGAATATATAGCAGGTGGCACGTTAAGGGCCCTGCTTCACGACACGAACGAACCATTGCCGTGGGAACAGCGTACGTCGTTTGCGAAAGACATCGCTGCCGGCATGGCCTACTTGCATTCTATGAACATCATTCATCGTGACTTGAATTCGCACAATTGTCTCGTTCGCGAGGATAAGACTGTTGTCGTTGCTGATTTTGGTCTGGCGAGGATTATTCAAAATGGTAGCTCGCCAGACAATCGTAAATATAATCGACATTCCGATGGAGAGGTGAAAACTTCGAAGAAAGAACGGAAAAAACGATATACAGTTGTCGGAAATCCCTATTGGATGGCTCCTGAGATGATGAAAGGCAATAAGTACGATGAGAAAGTAGATATATTCAGCTTCGGCATCGTTGTCTGTGAGATTATAGGCCGAGTCCAGGCAGATCCTGATTATTTACCGAGATCTTCGGATTTTGGTTTGAATCAAAATGTTTTCAAGGAAAAATTCTGTTCTAATTGCCCGGAGACTTTTTACATGATCGCGTTTCTTTGTTGCGACCTGAATCCTGACAAGAGGCCACCGTTTGAAGTTATGGAAGTTTGGCTAGAAGGGCTGGCGATGCATTTGTCGGTATGTGCCGAGTTGCCAGCAGATCTAGACTTCGACATTAGAAATTACAAAGGACCGAGTCCGAGCAGCAGCGAGTCCACAACTCCGGAAACTTTGGCACCACAATTGAAACCTATTAAGGAGGGTCAAGTGCACCAAGAGAAAAAGCGATCCAGTGGCTGTGACGACAGTACATTGGAACGTGAGACAGAGCCTTCATCGAGTAACACGCTTCATGTGCCTGAAGTCATGAGTCCGCGCAATAGATACACAAGACAGAATAGCAAGAGCAATGACAGTTCGGGACGTTACTCAAGGCAAAGTTCCAAATCAAAAGATTTTGTGTCTGATAAGGAAAAGTCTGATATAGTGATCTCACCTGATTCCAGCGGTTTCAGTGGACGATATTTGAGGAATAACAATATCAAATTGAAAGATACGTCTCCCGACATTCCAAATACCTACTCTTACTTGAAGCAGGAGACATATCCGAGACAGATCGACGCGAATGAACATAATCTGATCCGTGTACCCACTGTAGAAAAGATAAAGTACGTAGGAAGTGCGAGTCCGTGCGTGGTATCCGACGCTTCAGAATATATAATCGACAGTAAGGGCTCATACAAGATTAACAGTCTGAAACATAAATCGGCGGAGAAGTGTAACGATATAAGTGGTCATAAGACGAAGTCGGAGAGCAAATTCAAGATACCGGATGCTGCATGCTCCGTCGGTTCTTATCTAAAGCAAATCGGTAAATCTATCGGAGCCGTGGAAAAAGAAAATAAAGCGATTAATACGGCAAACTCCAGTGATACCGATTCGAAGAAAGTAGTCAGCGAAAGTCCAAAACCCTCTGCAGGATCGTATCTGCGAAGGACGAAAATATCACCGACCAAAGAGACATCGAAAAACGCGTTTTCAAATAAAGAAACTGTTAAAGATAAAGTTGATGGCATTTTGTCTCAGAAATCCGTAGAATCAAAAGTCTCACCGAATATCCAAGAAAACGTGGGAAACGAGAAAGATGGACTGTCCAGACGGGTTAGCAGTGTGTCCGATGTCGGCAGTATCTTATCGAGACAGGGAAGCCTTACAGTATTAGATCACACATCTAAATACAAAGATTACTCACCGTTCAATACTTTTACGAAGGATGATTTTCGTGAAGATCATTCCTTGGGAAAGCAAAATTCAGGCTTGTATCATACAGACAGTCTTTATTCCAACTCCAGCATTTCGAAGCAAGATGATCTTTTCAATATACATAGCAAACAAAATAGGAGTGACAAAATTGTTGAAACCAGATTGATGGGTAACGATAAAAAAAACCCAACGATGACTTCGTCTATTTATGACAGCGATTTAAAGGTAATGCCGAACAGTTTGGCTGACTATAATGGATGCTACAATGGGATTGACATCTGCAGGCAGGATAGTTTTGGTTCCGACAGCGCACTCGGCACTATGAAAAGCGATTTCTTCGCGGACATCGATTTTGTACAAATGAGGGACACACCGGATTTGTGCCATACACCCGAAAGATGCTGCACGCCTAATCGTCCGACGTCACCGATAGAAAGTACTGCTTTATAAATCAAAATGCACTCATGGCAGGAAGAAAATAACAGTTTATGTTGAGATAACGTGCGTAATCCCCGACGATGAATGAATCTTATTTGCTACTAATTTGATCTCTTTATTCATAATTTATAATCTTTATTCAGTAAGATTCGAACATGTAACGTGCTTAGTTTACAGTATTAACTTTTAGCCAGAGTGTTTACTTCGTCCATTATCTTAAGTGCAATGAGCGAGGAAAGATTGAATTTATGTATTAATTTTAATGTGCGTAAAATTTTGAATATAATACTTGTTTTGAAAAGCTTGCTGACAGGAAGTGATATTTATATTTCGTTATTAAAATTAAATTTGAAATTATTTAAATTGATATGTGCAAGACAAACGTAAAATCACCTTTGAGCTGGACATGTTTTCATTAAATTTAAATCAGTGTTGTCTTGCTGAAAAAAGTAATGATAACGCTCAGTATTAACGAACTTTATTTGCTGATTTATACAAATTTTTAGGTCGTAATGACGTTAATTAATTAGTCGTAAGAATTCTATTACATTCCTAGAGAGATCTTGCCACACCGTTTTTAAACATGGGAGTTCAGACGGTAAAACGCAGCTTCCCATCAAAAGTCATTCCATCCAAAATATTTATAGAGCCGGGATTTTTATAAGTACGATATTATTAGTGTGCTCGAAAAAGCAGCACTGTGAATACGTCGATTTTGCAAATTACAAATTACACGACTACAGAATCAAAAGCCGTCAATAGCCGAAGTACGAAGTAAAAATAAAATATTATGAATTTGTAAGTTGGTGCAAAATACATTTCCCTGAGACTACACGATCATGTACGTTTCTCTTAAATTATGAATACATCATGTAAACTCAGTTCTTGTAGAATAGAGGATGTAAAAAATGTTATATTTGTTTCAGGGCATACAGATGTACATCACAGTGTAAAATATTGTATACGTTTGTAATACTGCTGTATATGTACAGACTATTGATATATTATATATGTATGTATACATACGTGCATATAAATATATACATATACACGCAACGTTTATATCTTCGTTACATCTGTTTTGAATATACTAGGAGATGTTATGTGTATACTAAAAATGTGAATTATATTTATGTGTATTTCTTTTCTATTGATGCTTCTTCTCTTAACGAGGATATAAACGATGGCGGAGTAGTAAATATTGTGTGTAAAAAGAACAAATAATTTGTATATAAGTTTGTATATATCCAAATATTTGTAATTTTCAGAACACACCGATTGAGATATTTGAGTAACAATAAGTTTTATACTTGCGCTACACAAGTACGCGACTAGAGTTTTTCTTCCTATATTCTATTTCGATAATATATTGCCGTTTTTTTTTTTTTAAATCGCACATTGACTTTCATGACATTCAGATGAAGTTACATGTTTTTACAGACGTAGCCAGCAACGGTTCCAAGCAATAATTTTAATACTTGTAATTTCCTCATATTTTTTTTATCAACCAACAAGATTATTTTACATTAGATTACATGCGAACAATGCAACTATCTTTCTTATCTTTATCAGAAAATAAGTTTCTCTCGGATGCAGTTTATTAATATATATTGTTTTGAAAATAAACGTTTATTACTTTTTCAAATCGTTTGTGTCGATAACACGGTTTGTAATCGTTTTTTTTTTTTACCTTAAAACTGCAATTGAATACATAAAAAAAGCTCAGTCAAACAGCCCTAAACTTTATTTCTTTTCATGTAGAGGGAACATTACCGCTAAATGTTATTTGCCGATATTGCGAGCGTTTATCATGTAGAATAAATTTCAAAAATATCATTAAACGCGTGTCCGGTCTTAGAAATGGACGTTGTGTGCAATAATTGTATGGCTTGCTGTATGTACACGGTAGAGCTAGCCTAAGACATTATTCACTTGTCGTTGATTAATTGATGAGAATGAGAGTAAATTAATTAGTGACCTAGAATAGAGTGCTTTGCGAAATTGCAAAATTGCGTCGTGGAAAAAGAATTTTAACTGGCAACACGCGGCCCTTTGATCCCAATTTTGCAATGTGACGATCATGTTTTATACAGGGAGTTTTCTAACAAGCGACACTGTGTAACACAATGATCATTTTATTTCTATTTAACATTGGTGAACAACTAGGATGTACTAATTTACTGTGTTGTACGCTGTGTTATCTGTGTCTCTTCGAGGGCCATTTTTGTGCGAAGATATGTCTTTTGTTGGAAAGTTCCTTCTGTAAACACATCAAGTGATATAACATCAATACAATTTTACACTCAACAATGTAATAAATGTATTATAGAGAGCCAAACTTGTAAAAATAGATTTTGACCAGAGTATCGATTTTTGATAATAAAAAGGCAATAAATTTCAAACAGTTTGTAATATCTCAGAATGTCGGCAAACTGCCATCAAAAATAGAACAGAGCTTGTTGACACGCTTTTCCAACGGATTGAAATTGAACAGGATTTGCAACTTTTGCTTCTATCAGTCTGTTGGCTTAGCATATGTCAGTAGACTCTGTCGATAGATCTTGTCAGAGTTTAATGTGGACATAGATGGCTATAGATAGTAGGAATCTGATGAATTTATTATCAATCTGTTAGCAAACTGCTAGCATCTTGCTATTTGGGATGTACGCAATAGTTACAAATTGTTGAGTGTAAAATTATAACGTGGAGAGCAGATTAGCCGCGTAAGGTAATTTGGGAGAAGACGTCACATTTAAGCCTTTATTCTTAAATAACTTAAATTATTGAATTAACCAAAAAATATTTATATTTTAGAAACCTTTCTTTATTTATATAATACAAATTTGCGAATTAAATTTTTGATGTTCCGTATTATTGGAAAAAATTGATATGTCCATACCTTCTGCAAAACTTGCCCCTATATACGGATAAGATGCCACATATATAGGAGAAGATGTTACAAGCAGTTAAATAATGTAGTTCAATATAAACTTGGATATTTTACTTATTTATAGTCTAATCAAGAGTTCAAGCTATAAAAACGCATAAAAAATATAATAAAACATAAATTGAAGAAATATGAAAGAGAGTAATTTAAGAAATATGTTAGGCATACTTTTATTTATTTAAATAGCATTTTAATAACTTGAAATATTTCAAATTATGTAAAATATCCAAAATTTTAATCTATAAAATCGTAATTGCGATATCAAACAGGGAAAATTGTGTTTTGTATTTACTGTTATCTTCTCCTCAGGTGTAAGAGGAATATGCAATTGCAACTTTTACGCATGTAAGAATATCACAAATTATAATCTTTATCAGCCACTGCCAAGAAACACTGATCAAAATCATTTGTTTGATTTTAAAGCATCAAAGCATAAATCTTTAGCTATTAACATACCAAGTATATTAGAAAAAAACATTTCATGACCTACCTTTTCATATTTTGTTAGATATGTTTCAATGCGATAAGTGCTCTTTTTTTTTTTGCCCATTGTCTACTACATACTTGTACGTAATCAGAATGGCCAATGCGTGGTCTAAAAATATAAATAAAGTGCCATCTTTCCCCGAATTACCTTCTATTCAGCGTCGAATTGCTGTGCCGATTGTGAATGTAAACGAAGATAGCGATCGAAATAAATCAAAACGCAAGGAGAGTATATGTCTGAGAATAATCGCATAATCAATTGTCACGAAAACGCTTAGAAACTTTTAATGATGCGAGAGCGACGAAGAAACGAATGTTTATTATTAACGTCGCGGGGATGACAGTATTAACATTACTCGCTACAATATTGTTGCTTGGTAGTGATGTGTACGTTTGCTATTGTAACTCCTTAACACATAGTGGGCACAAAGATCACGTTAAGACCTACAAAGAGATGTCTGGAACGAGTAAACATTATTTTTATAGCCCCTGTAAATTTTTGATAGCCGACACGACCATCGATAGATTGATATAGAGAGTGTCTGGATCATTAGTGCATTAATTCGTAATAACTAATTAAGGTCGTAATGGCGAGACGCTCTATATAATTCCCTGATTCCTTGAATATTTTTATTCTCTCCTCTGTACATCAATTCGTTTACTGGTCCAATAAGTAGTTTCGAGCAGATATTTTTTTATAGATATTATAGAGAAATTCCTAATATCTAATTGACGACATAATTTTATAATGGGAAAGATATTCTTGTAATTATTGTCGGCCTAATTTCGTATAGAATCTCGTGGGAATTTTTTTACACGTATCTTCCGACTTTGTAACCAAATTACGAGTTATTTTTTTTACACACGAATGCGGATCCAGTTTAAACGTTATAGTTATACCGCAAGACATAACGGTCGTCTCATCGTGCGCGATATTTTGAGTCTCTATTTAACACATAGTACTTATCAATATTAAAGTATCTATCGCCGTAAGCAGAGAAATATCAGAAAATTTAGTGCTATGCGAAAAGATTGATTCAGATTCGTTATGCTGACGGTAAAAAGGAAAAAAAAACTAGGAGAGAAAAATAATTTTCCTATTCGCGCGTTGGTGCATATTTCAGCTCGAAATCGTCCTGTGGAATCCCTAATTCCTAAACGAGAGCAATGTTATCGATCACATATGAGACTATTATATATATTGTTTTATGCAAGTTGGCGAGCGAGATCGAAAATGCGATTCCAAGATATTCGTCCGCTATATCGCGACGAACACCATTCTCTTATGGTATCTTGATGACGATTGTCTCTACATCGACGAGCGAAGAACAAACGGCAGACGTTTTATACCACTTTTAAGTGCGTATTCGTAAAAGTCTATGAATGAGTTTTCGCGCAGAGTTCTATATTGTGAGACAAGTGTTTGATTTAACATTCCGGTAACTTAGCAAAACAAAAAAAAATACAAAATAAACTGTTGACAGTACATGATATGTTTTCTTTGTCCTTTCTTAACTCTTTTTAATATAAACAATCTTAATTACGTATATATTTATTATGTACAGAGTGTCACGAAATTTGAGGACAATATTATTTCAACGTGAAACTTTTTGAAAAATTGAATAATAAAAGTGTAACCC